CTGCCACAATTCGGGGGGGGGGGGCAGGATTTCAGACTCTTACCAAGCAAACGGGATGCGGCGATGGGCAGACATGATGTAGCGGTCGCTCTTGCTTGCAAGCGGACGCACGAGTCCAAAGTCGCCAATCTTGGCGTGCTCCTCGGAGGCCAGGAGGATGTTGCGCGCGGCCAGGTCGCGGTGAATGAAGAGCTTGGCTTCCAGGTAGGCCATGCCTTTGGCCACCTGCAGGCCGTAGCTCCAGAGCCGGTGGAGGGGGAAGGGCGGGCGGAGGTGGTCGTACAGAGAGCCCAGGGCGGCCAGCTCCGTCACCTGTGGGGAGGGAGGAGAAGGTGTCCAAGGGGTCCTGATCCCAGGTCCCACCTGCTCCGGAGGAATGTGGGCGCCCAAAAGGGGGCCTGCACCTCCTCTTCCTTTCAGCAGGGCCGTGCAGGAGAATTTCCCCGAGGTTAACAGCAGGAAGGGACGATGCATTTTATGAACTGATTTATCTCCTGCTTTTCTCCCCACAGCTGGGACTCAAAGAGGCTTGGAACATCATTCTTTCCTTCTCTGCTTTCACACAACAGCCCTTTGGGGTAGGCCAGGCTAAGAGCTTGCGATGGGCCGAAGGTCACACAAGGTAGAAGTTGGGATTCGAACCCGGGGACCAGGGCAGCGCAATGTCTCAGGCCAGCCCCAGAGGTCCTGAGTCCCTCCTGCACCTTCTCCCAAGGACCCGGGCATCCCTGCCGCTCTAGCCCTCCTGACCCCCAGGGAAAGCACAGGTCTCCAGCTGGCATCCTCTCCCTCTCGCCCCCCTTACCATCTTGAGGGGCTGGGTGAGCACCACCCCGTGCAGGCGGAGGAGGTTGGGGTGGTTCAGGCAGCACATGGCGTTGACCTCGTTCAGGAAGTCGATGAGGGCACCGGGGTCGGACGAGATGTCGGAACGTAGAGACTTCACCGCCACTGGAATCTGGGGAGGGGGGCAGACGGGCATGGGGGTTTCGCGAGTTATCACAGTTTATCCCACCCCTCCTTCCGGGATCCCAGGACGGCCCCTGTGGCTTTCCTCCTTCCTCTATTTTGCTCCCACAACAACCCTGCAAGGCAGGATAGGCAGAAACTGACCCATGGTCGCCCATTGGAGGAGGAGGAGCAGCAGCAGCAGAAGAAGACGACAAGGACGACTTGGATTTATACCCACCCTTCACCCAGTGTCAGCTAGGCCTCTGGCTATGCTAGCTGCCATGGGTGTGAGGGGGGGACTCTGGAATTTTAGCTTTCATTTCCCCTGCGGTTCCTGTCTTTATTTACGTAACCAAACCTCTGACTTTGAGTGTCTGGTGCACTTTTCTCCTGAGAATTATTACCTGTTACTTGGGCGGGTTCCTACCTGGCCTCTGATTGGACCGGAGCCATCAGGGGATTCTTTTGAACAATGCATATCTGTTTCCTTCGCACTCTTTATACCGGTTCTAACACTGAAAGTGTTAAAGATAGCGGCATACTCTCAATGTCTCAGTACACTTTACTTCTTTCAATGAAAGCTGTTGGGAACTGATTGCTGCGGAAGTCTGACAACCCACAGTCTCAGAATGGCTTACGATCTCCTTTCCTTCCTCTCTCCACAACAGACACCCCGTGGGGTAGGTGGGGCTGAGAGAGCTCTAAGAGAACTGCTCTTGAGAGAACAGCTCTCAGAGAACTGGAGCTGGCCCAAGGTCACCCAGCCGGCTGCATGTGGGAGAGTGGGGAATCAAACCTGGTTCTCCAGATTAGAGGCCGCCACTACACCGAACTGGCTCTCTCATGTCCTGGTCTAACACTCAAGCTGGGGGAGCCCTCTGTTGAGAGTGGGGTGGAGTGGGGACTGCAGTGTTCCCTCTAAGCTGAGTGAGTGTGAGCTAGCTCACAGTTTTTTTAGCCTCCAGCTCACAGATTTTTGTCTTCGCTCAGGAAGGATGGGGCTCCAGAGCAAACTGATTTAGGCAGGAGCCAAATTGCTCGCTCACAACTTGAACACCAGGAGCTCACAAAGTAGACTTTTTGCTCATGAGACTCCACAGCTTAGAGGGATCACTGGTGGGGAGCTGCACAGCGGGGAGTATGAACAGAAGGGGATCAGACCTTTGGCAAAATCTGGCCATTTAGTCTAACTTCCTTGTGGCAATGTAGAGTTGCCAACCGCCAGGTGGGGCCTGGAGATCTTCTGGCATTATCGCTCATCTCCAGACTACAGACACCAGTCCCCCTGGAGAAGTCGGCTGCTCGGGAGGGTGGAGTCTATGGCACTGGGCCCCATTGAGGTCCCTCCGCTCCCCAAACCCACCCTCCCCAGGCTCCGCCTCGAATCTCCAGGAATTGCCCATCTCGAAGTTGGGAACCAGAAGCTACAAGGCATAGAAGTAGGGCATGGAGGTGGCAGGATTCCCTGTTTCCCCCAGGCATCTGACACTCAGAGATAGATCGCTCCTGGACATGGAGGTTCCATGAAGCAACCATAGGTAACAGCCATTTATCAATGGGCAGGGTCACTGGATGGCTACCAAGGGACGAGGGGGGATCCAACATGCATGAGAAGAACAACAACAGTCTACTGAACACCCCCCCCAATGACTGCAGTCAGTCCAGAGTGTCTCCCCCCCGCCCCAGGAGGAGCACAAGCAATCGGACGAGATGCGGGGGGGGGCAGCGAGAAGGCCAGGTGACAAGTCGGCCTGGCGAGCAGAGCGGGAAACTCACCGTCGTGCCGCCGGGGGTGTTCCATTCGGCACGATGCACCACCCCAAAGCAGCCGTCCCCGAGGCGTTCGCGGAGGGCCAAATCCCACTCGCTGATCAGGCACTTCAGGGAGACGTCCGGGTCCGTGCGGGGCGTGGAGGGCTGGCAGGCGGGGGCTTCTTCGTTTTCTGGACTTTTCCCTCCGGTGAACATCTTGGCAGGGGCAGAAGAGACAGGGGAGAGCGTGGCGGTGGCAGTGCGGGCTCTCAGAAGCACCCTCGCCAACCGTCTCCAGGGCCTTCCTTCCTTCCCCACCCGCACTCCTTCCCTCCTGCCTGACTTATTTGGGACGAGACGGCGCCGCTGCCCAGCCTCCTCCCATCTGCTGATGGCTGGGGGCAAGTGGGGACCCCCGAGGTCTGGTGCCCACGGTCCCCTCTCCTGCCGCCCACCCAGTGGGTGAGGCCAGAGGCCGCTTTTTGCCCAGCAAGGCTTCTGATTGGCCACTGGAGAGTTGATTGGCTTGGCAGGTTTTAGAAATGTCATTTTGGCCACAGCTGCTGCCACGGCCCAAGAATCTTCATTGCGTGACTGAAGGTCAGCTGTGGCAGACATTTTGTGGCCGGGCCCACCCCACTATAATGGCAAAGGTGCAATGGCACAGGCTCAAACTGGTTGGGACCCCTGTATCTGGGGGACATCGCTGCCCACCTCATTGTGCTGCCCCAAGGAGTCGTGGGGGGGTGGCATTAAGAAAATAAGAGAAGCTAATTTTGGATCAGACCAAAGGCCCATCCAGTCTAACTCTGTGTCACACAGTGGCCAAAAATACCAGAAGCCATTAGGAGGTCTAGCAGTGGGGCCAGGACACCAGGAGCCCCTCCCACTATTGCCCCCCCCCCAAGCACCAAGAACATAGAGCATCCCTTGCCCCAGACCGAGAGTTCCTATCTATACCTTGTGGCTAATAGCCACTGATGGACCTCTGATGGTCCTCTGTTAAGACATAAGGACATAAGAGAAGCCAGTGTTGGATCAGGCCAATGGCCCATCCAGTCCAACACTCTGTGTCACACAGTGGCCAGAAATACCAGGGGCCATCAGGAGGTCCAGCAGTGGGGCCAGGACACCAGAAGCCCACCCACTTTTGACCACCCCCCCAAGCACCAAGAAGACAGAGCATCCCTTGCCCCAGACATAAGAACATAAGAGAAGCTAATTTTGGATCAGACCAGAGGCCCATCCAGTCAAACACTCGGTCACACAGTGGCCAAAAATACCAGGAGCCATTAGGAGGTCCAGCAGGACACCAGAAGCCCTCCCGCTGTTGACCACCCCCCAAGCACCAAGAACACGGAGCATCCCTTGCCCCAGACCAAGAGTTCCTGTCTATACCTTGTGGCAAAGAGCCAATGATGGAGAACTGGGCCTGGATCTTTCCCTGAGGCTACAATTTGTAATCATCCCGAATTAAATGAAGTGAAATGTCCCTTCTGATTTTTCCTCTCCCGGCAACCCAAAAAAAATCATCCAAAGAAGGAGGGGGTTTTTTTTTTGGTGATGCTGGGGGATGGAAAGAAAAACAGACTCACAGACTTTCATGCAGAAACCACACTTTAAGCTGTGACAGAACACTCTACATTACACAGTGACTGGTAGAGGAAATGGAATGATTTCACCAAAATATTTATGCCCCTTATGGCAGCTTATAATTCCTGGATCCGTTCCTCTTCCGGATTATATCGTCTGTCTGAAATTCCTTGGTGTCTTCCCTCACCACTGCCACAGACTTGTTCCATACAGAGGGAGCTGCTATTGAAAAGGAATGGCCACAGTCGATGCCAAGCCAGCAACCTCAAACGGGGGCAACTGACTGGCACAGGTGGTCCTTGGCTATGTGGGTCCTTGGTCTTGAGGCGATTTCAAAGTCAGAACTGGGACTGAGCCCAGAAGCAAGCAGACGGCCTGTGGGAGCTCTTTTCCTGCATTGGCAACTAACTGCCATTTCCAGGCAGCCTGAGCAAGAGTGCGGCCATCTTGTCTCCAGTGTTCCCTCTAAGCTGAAATGACAGACCAGAAACCGTTTGGATCCGTTCCTCTTCCGGATTATATCGTCTGTCTGAAATTCCTTGGTGTCTTCCCTCACCACTGCCACAGACTTGTTCCATACAGAGGGAGCTGCTATTGAAAAGGAATGGCCACAGTCGATGCCAAGCCAGCAACCTCAAACGGGGGCAACTCACTGGCACAGGTGGTCCTTGGCTATGTGGGTCCTTGGTCTTGAGGCGATTTCAAAGTCAGAACTGGGACTGAGCCCAGAAGCAAGCAGGGGAGGGTAAAAGACAAACCTTGTACACCCAGGAAATGGGACGCTGCCCTGGGGGTTTCCGGCGCTTCAAGGCATCTTCTAACCGTCTCTGTCCTAAAAAGGAGAAGAAGAGATTGGATTTATACCCCGTCCTTCACTCAGAGTCCCAGAGCAGCTTACAAACTCCTTCCCCTTCCCCTCCCCACAACAGACACCCTGTGAGGCAGGTGGAGCTGAGAGAGCTCTGAGAGAAACTGCTCTTGAGAGAACAGCTCTGACCAGAACTATGGCTTGCCCAAGGTCATCCAGCAGGTGCGAGTGGAGGAATGGGGAATCGAACCCAGTACCAAGTCACCAGTCAAGCTAGACCAAATTTCTCATACTATAGTTTTATTTATTCATTTATTTATCCTTGGATTTATATCCCGCCCTACCCCGAAGGCTCAGGGCGGCTGACAAGGGCACAATGTGCAAAGATTATAACAATAAAATGCATAGTATAAAACAACAAAATCCAATAGCAAATTTACAATACAAATTTAAACAAAGATGGGTAGATCTTAAACCCAGCGGTAGCTTCCTGAAATCTATCGTCCACTTCATGCCGAGGCGCCTCACCCCCCCAATGGGATCCAGACAATCATGGTGATAGTACGACGGTGCATAGAAGGCAATGGTGGAATAGTGGTGGCGGTGGCTCCTACTCAAAGGCCTGGCGGAAGAGCTCCGTCTTGCAGGCCCTGCGGAACTGAGAAAGGCCCCGCAGGGCCCGGATCTCCTCCGGGAGCTCCTTCCACCAGGTAGGAGCCGCCACCGAAAATGCCCTGGTCCTGGCAAAGAGGACCTCTGCCCTGTGAACCCACCCAACCACTAGGGTCATCTCCAGAGGCGTTGATTCGGGTGCCCCCCGTCTTCTGAGGTTGAGCAGCCAGAGGGGGGGAGGGGACCCTCTTGGCAGGGCAGCCTGGTCTCCCCTTGACCCCCTGCGGGAGATTGAGGGGTAGGGTGGCTGGATCCAGGTTGGGGAACCCCTGGAGAGTTGGGGGTGGGGCCCAGGGAGGACAGGGACCCCCATGGAGTACAGTGCCATACAGTTCACCCTCCAAAGCAGCCGTTTTTTTCCCCAGGGGAACTGATCACTGCAGTCTGGAGATCAGTTGTATTTCCAGGAGTTCTCCAGGTCCCACCTGGAAACTGGCATCCCCAGACTTCTCCGTCACGGCACCAGCGTTCCCGCCAGTACCTCGCTTTCCTAAACCAGGGCTTTAATTGCGGCTTTTGTGTTTTGTACGTATTTTAACGCCGTCTTGACAAATGTGTGTCTGGAGGGGCGATTTTAATGGTTTTAAAATGTGATTTTTATCAGGAACGTTTTAAACTGTTCGCTTCCTCGGTGGCCCTTGTAAGGGCAGGAAGTACATTTTGCAAATAAATAACTATATGGACTTCTTTCAGGGGATGCACAGAGTGATTCTTCTGCGTCATCTCTGGAGCTGTTTAGCACAGGCCAGGGTGGGGGTGTAAAGAAGGAAAGGCACTATTATTTGCCCCCCGGCTTTTGAGAAGGGGTGGGCTTTGCTGTGACATAAATTCCTATCTTTGACTACCAGAAGTCCTGTTGAGTCAGCCTCTGGAATTTCACACCGAGCTCTGTTCGCATTTCCTTAAAGTCTTCTCTCTGTAATTCCTAAGGACTAGAAACTTGACTTTGTGGGCAAAAGCTTAGTTACTGGGGATATATACGCTGAAGGCCTCTTGAGGAGCAGAAATCCTGGTTATGCCTGTCCACTGAACCCTCAGCTCTGCCAGTTCCCCTCTGTCCACCCACCCCCCAGTTCACCCACGACCCCTACCTGGGCGCCCCATGCCAATGCGGTCGAGGTCGGAGGGTCTGACGTAATCAAAATGGCCCGGGCGTGTCACGTGGAGTTCATTGCGGATCTTGCTGTAAAACTGCTCCAACTGGATCTCCGTCAGCAGCTGCAGCAACCATTCGGTGCCGTCATCTGGTGCCATGAGGGCATCTCTTGAGCAGAGGGGGAACAAGATTAGCCCAAACATTCCTCGCACCCACATCAAGAGGGACCCAACAGACAGCCCCAAACTCTACTTTAGTGACCCCACCCCAAGGCCCTGGCCTGAGCCCTAGCCTGGCTGGAAACACTGCCCAGTCTCCTGACTCTGGGGACTGTAATTTTATTTTATTTTAAATGTTTGCCCCTACAATACGTAACTTGACTCACTTGCACAAGTCATTCATTTATTTATTTATCATTGGGTTTCTATCCCACCCTCCCTGCAAGCAGACTCAGGGCGGGTCGCAACAGTCAAATCATAGTACAAATAGATACAGTTCATAACAGTTTAGAATTTAAAACCAACACAAAACAGCACTATCTCCGGTGCCCACTGATGCCAACCACTGGCAAGAGGGCACATGAAGACGAACAACAGAGCCCATTCAGCAGGTGCCAGGACGGTTCTTGAGGGCAGTTCACCCGGGCAGTGTGTACAGGGAAGGCCAAGATCTTCAGGCGTCCACTGCCACAGCCAAAGGCCTGGCGGAAGAGCTCTGTCTCGCAGGCCCTGTGGAATTGCACTATATCCTGCAGGGCCCTGATCTCAGAGCTCTTTGGGGCACCTAAGGGGAGAGGCTGTCCTGCAGCTATGTCGCTCCCCGGTCGCAGAGGACTCTGAAGATGTGAACATACTTTCTCTTTGCGGCCTGCCTCAGATTGTGTGGGCTGGTCTTTGAGGAGGGGCGGGTCAGAGTAGATGCTCTGTGGCTTCAGTCCAGCCCTACACCTATGCCAGAAACAGACCCTCCAGAGTCAGAGGCAGTATACCTCTGAACACCAGCCCCTAGGGAGTGGCAGTTGCCCTGACATCTTGAGGCGGGCTTCTCACGGATTTCCAGAAGGCTACACGTATTTATCGACTCCGTTTGTGCCCCGCCTTCCTCCCCCAGCGGGGACCAATGCTCCCTCTAAGCTGTGGAATCTTGTGAGCAAAAATTCTACTTTCTGAGCTCCTGGCATTAAAATTGTGAGCAGGTGATTTGGCTGCTGCATAAATTAGTTTGCTCTGGAGCCCCATCCTTCCTGAGCGAAGACAAAAATGTGTGAGCCGGAGCCTAAAAAACTGTGAGCTGGCTCAACCTGACTCAGCTTAGAGGGAACACTGGCGGGGACCCAAGCTGGCTTCCCCCATTCTCCTCTCCTCCATTGTATTCTCACAACAACCCTGTGAGCAGGGCTCTTTTTGTAGAAAAAGCCCAGCAGGAACTCATTAGCATAATAGGCCACACCCAATGGCAGGAACTCATTAGCACATTAGGCCACACCCCTGCCAGCACATTAGGCCGCACCCCATGTTACCAGAAGTGTGGTCATCCAGCCACACCCACCTTTTGCTTTTTATTCTGTTTACCTTGTTTATTGTCAAGACCCAGGGCCTTTTTTTGCAGCAGGAACGCCTTTGCATGTTAGGCCACGCCCCCTAATGTAGCCAATCCTAATGAGTTTCTGCTGTTGGGTGTGGCCTATTATGCTAATGAGTTCCTGCTGGGTGTGGCCAACTCGGGAGCCAGCTGGAACTCCGTTCCTGTGCGTTCCTGCCCAAAAATAGCCCTGCCTGTGAGGCTGAGAGTGTGTGACTGGTCCAAAGTCACTCCCAGCAAGCTTTCATGGCAGAGAGGGGATTCGAATCTGGGGCTCCCAGATCTGACACTTTAACCACTGCGCCGCACTGGGAAGCAGAATGCGGGATGGGACAGACCTTCCGAGTTTAGACAGATCCGGCCGTTGGCCGCTGACTGCCCATCGTTCCTTTCCTGGCAGAACGACAACAACTGCTTGACAGGCAGAAGTCCAACAGGTAACGCTTTCTCCAGCATGGAGACGCGCAGTGATAGGGTGTTGTGTGTGTGTGGGGGGGGGACTTTTCACCGGTCACGATTCAGATCCCCCCCAAAGCCAGAAAGATGCTGGCAACTTTTACTGGCCTCTTGGCCAGAGAGGCTCCTTGGGAGTCCCCTCCGAGCTGCCCCCGCCCCACAAGTTCTCCCTTGATGGTTGCTGCTTTTCAAAGCCCCCTGAAAGCCAGGCCCCCTGGCCTGGGGGGCACAGGCCCCCACATCCAGGCATCGCTTTCCCTCCTGGCCTGTGTTAGGGGGTCCCCATCTCTGGGCTGAGAAATCCCTGGAGATTCGGTGGTGGAGCCTGGGGAGGACGGGATTTGGGGAGGAGAGGGGGACCACCGTGGGGCATAACGCCAGAGTCCCACTGCAGCAAGAAGAAGAAGAAGAAGAAGAAGAAGAAGAAGAAGAAGAAGAAGAAGAAGAAGAAGAAGAAGAAGAAGAAGAAGAAGAAGAAGAAGAAGAAGAAGA